TCTGAGGACCAAACCCATCCACTGAATTAAAACAGAGAATCTCCCAAGCACTATTTGTATTGGAACTAAGTGACATATTTAATACTTATGTCCTGAAAGGGTCATACATATCCATAGTGGTAGGTCTGAAAAGATAAGAAGCTTTTCTGACTTGCTGTGCTCCCTGCCAGAAAAGCACTGGTGCCTGGCCTGAAGACAGCACGGGGAGGAGGCTGTTGCCTATGGGCTTTGCCCCTTACAACTGATCAATAGCAGTGACAGTTTGTGCTACAGCAAGAACAGCTTGATTGTTGTGAAGGAGCAACAACATCCAAAATCTGACAGGCAAACAGTCTTGGGGACTTAGAGATGTTGGTCTCCTGTAGAGAAAGGAAAGGAAGGAGGACCCAGCTCTTCTGACACTCCTTGGTCAAGGTTTCTCCTCATGATTACTGTCAGTAGAGACTTGTCCACTGTGATTCACTTTTTCAAGGCTTCCCCTGGCAGATGTAGAAGGGACAGAGAACTGCACTGCTCTAAGAGCAGACTTAGAGAAGGATGGGTGTTTTGTCATTGCCTATTAAACCTACATGGCTTTGCAATATGGTTACTGTCTGCCAGCTCTGGTGAGAGTTTGGCTGTCAGGAAGGATGGCAGTGGTGCCTCAGGAGGAAGGTCTGTCTCTATTCTGCTTCCAGTCTCCTGGTGAGACACACTGACTCACCAAGGACTGCTCAGTGGAAGAGGACAGCACATGGAATACACAGCTGTCCATCCCAAGGATGGGGCAACAAAATGCACTTTTACCTCTGTTGTTTCAGGTTAGCATCTGCTCTGCCTTTAAAGTGGCTCTAAATCCACCCAATGGCTAAATCAGTCCAGCTTCATCTTGGGATGGAGATCTTTAGAAGTTCCATACATACTTCCATCTACCAGATATGGCTCCTTGTCTTTTCAGGGAACAGAGTTATGATGGAGTGTAGAGAGAAGAGAATTAATCACCCTCTGCCAAGGGAGCTCTGACTCATGGGGTGGCAGCTCAGGCTCTGTGGGCATGAGACCTGCAGGGCTGAGAACTCCAGGGGGTTTAAAAGGGCCTGTGCAAGTCAGCGATGTCAAGTACTGCAAACACATCAAACCCACCCTCTGCTCAGTGCACACGACAGAATCTGAGTCAAAATCAGCCCCCATCTCACCAAGTAAATGATCTGAGTGCTCTGGGGTTGGGGTCTATGCCAACCCCACCTCCCCTGGGATCAGGTCACGGGACATTTCTGCCACTCTCCAACAAAAAGAGAAAGTCACGAAGAATGAGAGGAGTGAAAGGAATAATTTGCTGTACCAGAAATAGAGTTTGCACAAAAGAGGGCTTGGTTTATAGCTCATGTCTGTTTCTCCACAGTTCTAGCAATCCTGTGTTCCAGGTGCCTAACAACCTTCTCAAATCCTGTTCCCAAATAAAATCTCAATCACATCACATATTTGTTAAAATCCACACTCTCATCAACGTGTGGTAGGGGATTGATTCTCCACTACAGTGCCTGGTTCTGGACTTGAAAGAAAACAAGCTTCTGGAATCATGCAGCCTAAACTTTCAGCTCCTTGAGAAACTCAGAGGTGAGCACCACACCTGCTTTTATGCCTCCTCTGTCTTAGCCAGCAATCATGCTCCTTGTGGTCACTTTTTTTCCTTTCCACTTCCCCTAAATTTAAAAAAAAAAAAAAAAAAAAAAAAATCTTTTTACTGTGAAGTAACTGAGCAAAGCCTGTGGACTCTCCATCCTTGGAGACATCCAGACACTGACATGGACCTGAACAGATGACCCTCCCTGCTTGAGCAGGGGATTAGACCAGATGACCTCCAGAGGTCTGCTCTGACCTCAGCCATTTTGTCATGCATGTATTGATGACAAGACTTGCTCTTGCCTTGGAAGAGAAAGACAACAGGATTCATGTGGGCCCTGAGGAGATCCAGGAAAGCAGATGGCCTGGTTCTTGGGGACAATGACTTGACAGCTTCTGGGAATGACTGAGTTGATCTTCATGGGAGGCAAAACCAGAAGCAAAGGTTTTTCCATTTATAGTTATGAGCACTGTATGACAATGAGGAATAAATTCCTAGAAGAAAGATGTTTTTTTTCCACATGGAAGTACTCACACCCAGCCTACAAAAAAGCAGTATTTTCACTTATCTGTACTATTTGCTACTGCTGCTACTACAGGTCATTTTCTCTGTCTCTGTCTATGTCTCTCAAAGGCAGGTCAGCAGAAGGAGCACAGGACATGCAGCTGCAGCCTATCAGTACAGGTATGTATGCATGCTGCAGGTGATGCTGCCTGGGGGATTGGATACTGCTGTCTCCTCTTTCTGGGAGTAGGAAGGGAGAGGAGGCTAAGCCGGGTGCTGGGCTCCAAACACTTCTGAAATGACAACAGAAGGTGGGATTGGATAGGAAAAACAAATGTATAAAAAGCTTGCCTGCAGGTAGTGAGAACTGGCAGTCTTCTCATGCTGAATTTTCAGCTACATGATGAGATACACTTCCTTAACAAGACATTATGTATTTATTCTTCGACTTGTCACCTACTGCAATGTTCACTGTAGTAAAATTAGGCAGAGCTGAGAAATCTTTAGGTACAGCTCCAGGTTTGTGTATGTGTATTTTCACACTTGTAAGACAGTCACCTATTCTGCAAGCAGTAGTGCCAAGAAGGAAAATTGAGACTTCCCACCCTTCACAGAGGATGTTACTATCTAACACTGAGAAAACTCAAGGCCTACTTCACATAAGCACAAATGTGAAAGTATCTGCATGCTTGGAGCTTTTTGCTTCTCAGTGCTAAACAACAGTTCCCTCGTCTTCCCCTGTCCCCAACACAGGCACAAGAGAAAAGCTTGGCCACTACATGATGCTTTTTGCTTCTATCTATCCCTGTCCCTGGAAACATTGGAGGCCAAGTGTGGACCAAGCTCTGAGCAACCTGGTCTAGTTAAAGATGTCCCTGGTCATTGTAGGGAGAATAGAATATGTGACCTTTAAAGGTCCCTTCCAACCCAAACTATTCTATGATCCTCATCAGAACTGTGATGTCTTCTCATTCTCTTAAGAACTGGTAAGGGCAAGTCAAGGAGAAAGTAAAACCCTTGGTCTTTAAATCAAAATGATGGCTCTTGCTAGTTCTTAAACAACCATGAGCCCTTAGGAGCCATCTTTCCTAGCCAGCAGATAGGACATACTTAGAAAGCTTGATGAAGCAAGGTGCCCTTTCTGTGCTCATTTCCACACCTGCTAGCCTCTCAGACACCAGTACTGCCCAGTGAGTTCAACAGCCTCACTGGGAATCTGGTCTCTGCTTCAGCTGTCAGAGTGCCCTCACTGGCAGCAGGTCCCTGCTAGTGACCTAATGTACAGAAGTAGGGCAAGAAGGCAGGATAAAACACCAGTCAAAATATCTAGGTCACTTAATGAAGAGTTAAACTCATTTCACAAAGCACATTTGTTGCTTTTCCTAGGATGCTCCTGCACCTTCAGAAAAGTGTAATCTAGTGGGAGTGAGTGACAACTTCATACATCCAGAGACTTCTTGCTGGCACGTTAGAATGGGTATTTAACTTACCATCTATTAAATCTTCAATTTCCATTTCTCTCCCACCTGTGCAGAGAGCAGGCTTTTCAGCAGAGAGCAGGCTTGATGCTTTCTGGGCTGCTCTGGCAGTGAGCAATGTGCTGGTGGCTCTCAACTCTCCCTATGCTAGGTCTCCCCTACTCCAAGGATTGGAGAGTGGCAGGGATTGCTAAGAGATACTGAAGTGCTGATGGCTTTTAGGACTCCTGCCCAGACCACTCCCTCCCACCAGTTAAACCATCATCCACAAAGTAACACTGGGAGGAAGATACAGCTTTTCTCACCAGAGCTCCCCAGCAGAGGATCCCCCCCCAGGAGCACTGCGAGGCAGCTTTGGTGCCGGGGATGCAGCACCCAGCAAAGCCCAGCTTTGCTCGCTGGCTGTGTTTATATTCAGAGCTTAAATGCTGCCCCAGAGTTGCGTGACTGGCAAAGACCATCAGCCAGAACAAGTCTCTGCTGAAATCTGCGCTGTCAAGTCATTTGCAGCATCACAGTGACCCAGAAAGCTGATGTTATTTCACATTATTTCAAGTGGGGCTTTAAGAAAACACAAAACATGCCCCACAACCCCTGGCATTTTCGTATTTAATTGCAAGCAGTCATCCTCTGGTAGCTGGGGATGCTGCATTCAGGTTGCTGAAAAAAAACGAAGTATTTTGACTTGCTATTTTACAAGCATTAGTCTTCTGTTATATGATGAAAAATCACTTGGAGACATCCTGCTTGTTTTCATGGAAATCTACAGCAGGCAGGGCACTGTAGCATCCAGCTGTGTGGAACCTGTGTAAAAGTCTAGGAAATGGAGCATTTTCCCACAGAATCCACTATTTTTGTCTGTGGGTGCTGACTTTGCATTCTGAAGTGGAAAAGCAGTATTAATCTGAAAAGGCTCTTGTATTTCCTCAGTCTTCCTTTTATTGTCATTATGAAACTTTAAAAATAGACTGCTATTTGTAAAACAGCTGAGATTCTACTGAACTGTTCTGTTTTACTGCTAAGTGGAAAAATTAAGTATTTCTGCACCAGAATGTACTTCCTTTTAACCATGACATACAAACTAATGAGTCTTCTTTTGCAAAGATATTGTTAAAAGGATTCAATCTTCAGGTGCTAACAATCGAAAATAAACCATAGTCCTAGCCACAGAAATTCAAAACCAGAGCAACAACTCTTATGGCAATTTCAGAGGCCAATCAAAGAGACCTGAAAAAATGAGATGTTAGAGTCCATGAATCTTCTGAGCCAGTGTTTCTCTTCTATTCTTCATCTACCTTCCTGAATCTACAAATTTGCACCTGCTTCCAATGTTTTTCATAATTTTCATGCAGAATAAAGGAAAGAAAATAAAGAAAAGTGCCTTATGTTTGATGGAAGGCAAGAGAAACAAAGCATACAAAATGAACCTTTATTAAATGAAAGAAAATCTGTTTTGTGGGTCAAATATGAAATAGAATATACAAAAACTTTACATCAGATTTCTTGTCAAAGAAATTAAATTCTATTAGACTGAAGTAGCACTTGTTCTTTCCAAGACAACACGAATGGGTGAATGAATATGCATCTTGTGGCAGTACAGGACCACATAGTCTGCTGTGCTAAATTTCTGCTTACAGAGAAGAAAAGTTAAAAATCTAAACGATGTCTCTAAAAAAACCCAACTATTCAACAAAGTAACCTAAAACCATGAACGTTGACCACTATGTATTCTCTTATAAGCAAATGACAAGTGGGTCAAGTGCAGAAATCACAAAGCTTGCATATCACATTCTCTGTTTCTATACAAATATAAATAGTAATTTTTTATTTCAAAAATCCTTTTATATTTGATACCTTTATTTGTGGAAGAGGATGACCAGTTTGTCAGATTCCTGCTGTACTACCCAGACAATTCCATCTCCTTTATCTCCTCCTTTTTTTGAAGATTGTAACCCATAAACCACAGCCTACAGTATTTTTAGAAACCAATGTATGTTTAATCACAAATCTTTGTACCACTGTCCCATACATGAAAGTTCTGCAGAGCTCCTAACATGTCTTTGGCATAGCACACCATGTCCCATTTAATACTTTTATTTTATTTTTTTTTTTGCTTAAAAAAGTATATATTCCTTTAGTAAAACAACTTAAAAACATCTATTTCTGATTTTGTAAAATAATGTATCACCTCTTGAGTTGCTTTGCAAAATATACACACACATTTTGGAAAAACATTGAGTACTGACATAAGGGGCTCATCTGAAGTCCAATCTGCTTATGAGAAGTAAAATAAAATTACAAATTCTGTGTTCTGCATGAATCTCACATGAAGTCGTTCAACTCAGCTTCAAGTGCTGCTGCCATTTCATCTGCTTCAGAACTGCTTCCTTCCTCATCTTCATTGCTGGATTCTTTACTGGATTCACTGGCAGCATCATCTTCATCCAGTTTGCGCTTGTGACCCCTGGAAGGACAGGCAGAGACAAGGCCCATGAATGGAGGTGTCTCAGTGCTTGCTGATTCATATTCAACATGAGAAAAACCGAGGCTAAAGGACTCATCTTTTTTCAGGCCTAGACAAAAAGTACAGCGCTTGCTTTTACATGAACTAACAGTAGCCAGTTCACACAATTCTTTTTTTAATTGCTGTTATGTACTGTCAGCCGCAGGTGTAAAGAACAAAGTAGTGTTAATTTGTTTCTTCCATTCTTCTAAAGAAAGTATGAGACTGTTTGAAAATAATGATTTATGTTTCTCTTGCATCCCAAAAGAAGAAAGCCATTGTGTGAAAGAGATATCACCAAAATACGAATGTTTTAATATGATCTTGAAATATTCAAGTTTCTGCTCTTTTTATAAAAATAAAACCATAACTGATTAACCAAATCTCACTGCACCAGCATCTACACTTTCACGCTTCCAAACTTTGGGGTCCCATCCTTCCCTTTTATGTCTCTTTGGATTAGTACTGCCAGGTTGAACAACACATTTCTTCACATCTCTGGAGAATGAACCAGTTTAAACAGGAAACTGATGTGCACCATACCCTGCTGAAAGAATCATGTTCCTGGCTCTGAAAGATCTCCAAGGAAAATCTAACGCTTCAACTGGGACGCAGCCATAAGAATATAAAGAATTTGGATTTGTGGAATCCTAAAATCTCTTCCTTGCCAAAGGGAATTTTATATCAGACATGTACTTCTGAGACAAAAATAAAGTTGAGATTTTTGCATTGCACAGAATTCATAATGAGATGTAGAAACACCTTCAAAATCCTTCTAGTTACTTTGTTCAAATTTCAAGCAGAAAAATATATGCAGATGGGCAGGCATCTCTCAAATAACTTCCCTTGCTGGGTGGGGTTTCATTAAGGAGAGAATGCATCCACTTGCAGTCATGCAAAACTAATAAAATCATCTACCTATTTTAGCTAAAAGCTGTAATTTAACAATAATCCCGTTACTTCTGAGAGCATGGAGAAGATAGCAAGAAAGAAAGACCTTTGATAAATACTGGCATGGATTATACATATCCAAAAGAAATAAAGGCAAATATTAACAGTCAAACTTGTGAACTTGTAAGCAATGCTGAAATACAAAGCAATTTTTATTTATATGACACATTTATTGCTGTTTTCCAAGAAAGAGGAATACTTATTAGCCCAGACTGCTTGGTTTGTGGGCTGGTTGACTGACACCTGACCTGCCCTTTCTCAGCTTTTCAGGGAGATGGACAAGGTGTGGTGGGAAGTCAAAAGGGGAGTCCAAATCAAAATGGGAAATGAGCATTACTATGTTCCATCTTCCTTTTCTGCTGCAGCTGTGGGACAAAGAGACACTGCTGCTGCTTTACAGAGCACATCCTCCCACTGATGTCAGGTGGGTTTTGCAGTTCAGCAGAGGGTGGTAGAAGTAATATTCCTGGGAGGCAAGGCTGAAACCCTGGGATATACTCTGGGCTCTAAATCCCTAACAAGGAAAAATGGGATGAAGTAAAAGTGTTACCTGAATACTTTGCTACTGAAACTCAGATGTAGCATGCTGAGGGAGTTTCAGGGCACTAAATGTAGCCTAATTCACAATAAAAAGCAGTTTCTCAGGCATAACAGTGATTATTTCCACACAGCCTCTATTAGCATGCAGTTTGGACAAGGAAGCTCCTGTGCTTAAAATGCCCAGTTGGAAGAAATCTCAGCACATCTTCATTAAAAGCTATACAAATGTGTGGAGCCTTATCAACACTTGCTGACTGCGATGAATTCAGTCTTTAGAGATAGAGTGCTATTTCAAGCATTAATGACACCATTAGCGAAGAAAAGCTAATTGGGAATTAAAGAAACCTCAAACAGTCTTACTCAGCAAAAGAAACGACCAGTGTGTTCTTTAACCAGTAGTGGATAAGAAGTACACAGGCAGTGCTAACTGAGAATTAAAGTCACAAAGGGAATCTATACCACAATGCTCACAGCTGAAAACATTTGTATTCATCTGCTTGTAAGGCTGCATCCATGGAATCTGATGGTATTACCCACTGAAAAATGAAATTAACAAGCTGACAGCTGTCATTTACACATATGAAGCATGTACACACAACTGCAGATACTGTATTTAAAGGATGTGTCAGGACAAGCAGGCTTTTAGAGCCAGCCCAAATACTGTAAGTTTACTGGGACATAAATCAATAGCACAGATCTCATAGAGAAGAAAAAAAAGGATCTATGAAAAAATAAAAGCTCACTAAAATAATACATCACTTCCAGGTTCATTATTTCTTGAAAATGCAGAACAGTTAATTTACTAAATATTTACAGCAAATACCAGCAAAATTATTAATTTATGCAAGAAAGTAACTTTTTAAATTTCAATGTACTTCACAGCAACTAGATTTCAGTGAAGACAATCAACAAAATACAGGGATCTGAAATACTCAGTGTGACCAATTAATTAAAGAACAAAGTTTCAGCCTACAAAAAGACTTTCCAGAAACCTTAATGGATGCCTCTCCCACATTTCATCCCTCATTCAGCTGTATTAAACAGTATCTTTAGAAATCCAAAAGCCTGACCATTATCTATTTTGTCAGTTCTTGTTATTTCAGCAAGGCTAGAATGACAGCTCTGTTCAATCTTGAGATGAAATATTAGTCACTCATGGGGAGGAAAAAAACATGGAAAAAAGCCCAAAAAGAAAATAGAGGTAAGTACTAGTTCTCTATAGAAAAAGCAAAAAAACAAAACAAACCAAAAAACTATCCTAAATGCTAGCATTTTTTAAATTACGATATAAAAATCTTTCAGTATTTGTGTACTGTAAACTGCAGCTTCACAGGTATTCAAAAAACATTTGAATGAGTCTTATGATATCAAATAAAAAGCTAACCCTGACAGGAGTATGGAGGAAAGACATCAGGGAACACAGAGCTGCATTTTTTCTTTGCAAATTCCGAAAAGAGAGATAACATTCTGTTAAAAATTTCTGCCTTCAGAGAAAAAGCAGTACATTGCCGTGGCAGCACATCTATTAACATAACAAATGATTTAAAATGTGTATTTTCCTCACTGTTTTGTGCCCATTCTTTGTCATTTCCAGTTTCAGAGCCACATTTCGTAGCACTTTTGAGTGGAAAAGTTAAGCTCATACAGGATTCCTTCTTACTATTTAGAGAAAATGATTCAGCAGCGTTGCAGGCTTCCATTAGCCTAATTTGCATTTTTATAACGAATTTTGCTTGACTGCTATTAAAAGCCAAACACGTCGATAATAACTGAGTATCTTTCACCTCACATATGAACAACTGCCAAAACACTGAATGCAGAACTTTTAAGTATCTGACAACTCTGTGAAAAAAACAACTACACTCTAGATTTCCTTTGCATTAAGTATTTTTCCTTTGTAATACTCAGTACTAGCAGGCCCACCAATTCATTTTGCTGGAAAAATCCTTTCAAAAGAGAACTACAATTCAAAAACTCTCATGTATTTAAGTGAATTGTCAAGAGATAAATAAACTACAAATGCAATTCACAGTATTAAAAATGAAAAGAAAAAATAATTTGTAATTAAATACATATAAAAGTAGTTTTTAGGAAAATTTCATCTACAGAATGCTAATGAGAAATAGTGATATTCCAAATGAAGAGATAGGTTTACAAAGTTGCAATAGCACAAAGCGTATGCCTATAAAAATAGCACAGAAAAATTTAATGAAAATGAAAATTTATTTAGCTCTTGATCAGTTAAAATGACCACTAAAATCTGATTACAATGTACAGGTTGAATGAAAACTGCATTTTTATGAATTCACTTTAAATTTAATTCACTGAGAGAGACATAAGGAACAAAGTAAAATAAGTCAAGTATTACTTGTTTCTATTATTTTAAGGCCTTAGTTTATAATTGGCTGAAAATAATGTTGAAAAATCACTCTCCTTAACTGAAAAGCAGATTGTCTCTGGTTTGTTTTGCATCCCAATGGCACCCCTTTAAGAAATACAGTGCTACGTTAAAATAGAAACATCTAATTAGCAAAGGAACTCAAAGGGCAACATAACCCTTGCTTTAAACAAAACAAGTCTTTTCCAAACCTTATTTTAAACTTGTAAATGAAAACTACAGAAAGTACTTAAATAGACATTCACATCTCCTTTAACTTCAAATACCCACAATCCCCATCATTATTCTGATAATGAGTAAACCTCTAATTTTTTACAAGTTGACCTGACTTTTTTCAATAGCTCCTAAAATCAGTACAATAACAAAGTAGAGCCTGCAGACTAAATGTGTTTAGTCTTTTACAAGCAATCAGCTTACAGCATTGACATTATAAATTAGGACTTCAATTTGCTACCAAATACAGCCAAGTTTCTCTCTAATGAGAACACTCACACAGACCGTTATGTAGTTTGGAAGGCAAGGGCTTGGAAAAGGCATTTTGAAACTGCATGCTGCCTTCCAACATCATCACAACCCCGCAACACAACCTACACTGCCCCTGGCATGCCTCTGAAGCTCCATGAAGCTCCATGTGGAAGGTCTGTCCTGCTTTCCATACACACCTAGACCACAGCTTTCTCTAAACTCCTTCCAAAATGGAAAGAAGGTGATGTAGCATTTGGTAATGTAACTAGAATTTGACTTCCTTCCACAGGAATTTGACCATGGGAACAACGTATTCAGATAAACTAGTTCTCTGGCAATATTTTTCAGTTATGAAGAATTAGGGCTGGTTATCCAGCTGGTTATCCAGTAAAACTCTTCTCCAACCCATTCTGAAGATGCCAGCCCAGTACTTGGCTAACAAGCTTCAATGCCTTGAGCTCTGAGAGTAGACAAACTGAAAATTAATGTTGGGAGCATTAATATGTAACATGAGACAGACAGACAAGACTGTTAATTTTTCAGAGAGATGTTCCAAGTTTTGCAGTTATGTTTTTTTAACATGGGATACATGGCAATATCTTTAAGG